CTAGCACTTTACCCTTTTAAGTAGACATAAGACGGAATGCCAGCATTCTGTAAGCACCACCTCTCTACAGTTTGGAAGGCGGCGCAAGTTGAGCTCCAAGGTGAATATTCTATCTATCGAGTACAAGACTTGTTTACGTATATCAACACAGCGAGCAGTGCCCGAGTATTCCTGGCCCAGCTCCTAACACCACTGCCGTGCCTCGCGATAACTGCGATCGTCGACTTGCTGCCTTTACGACCAATTTCAAATAATGCCAATTCCAACCAGTTGTTCTTCGTTCGAGCGTTTGCTTCATTTTAGCTCGCCAACACCACGACGCATAACCAGTTCAAGCACATTGTGCCACAATTACCGCTTTCTAACGCAAAAATCGCTATCTACGGCGCTGTTGTGGCTGCTATCACAGTGACTGCCATGTATGGACTCGTACTCATTGTAGGCTTCCCGCTGCCATTCAGTATAATTACGATGTCACCAGTTTGGTTATCGCTTTTCGTGCTGCCAATGGCTCTGTGGATGGTTAAGTCTAGGACAGATCCAGAATCCTGGCCACTCGTAGTGACGTCATTAAAAGTGATGGTATGTCAAGAGGTGCTTGTGGTTGTCTATCCGACGTATTTCTACGTGTTTACAACAATTCCAGCAAGTGGAAAAACCTATTTTGCATTACTCTTGCCTGTCCTTAAGCTTGTGTTTCGGAATGCTATGGCGAAAACCGTAGGATATTTAAGTGACGAAGTTCCAGAAGGCGTCAATACTACCCAATTAACCGTCACCACACGCTTTGTACTCTCACCATTATGGAGGGCAATGGCAAGTTACGATCAGAGCAATCACATATTGACAACAAGTAATTAGGACAAGTGAGCAGACGCCGCAATCATGTACGTGTAGTTTACCCTTACTTACCAGCATGATATCTGTCTTTGAAGCCGTGTTTTGTGTAGTGATTCATAACGAGTCTCCAACGCTGATGTCTGACAGAGATACTACTATTCCGACTGGCAATTAGACTATATTGCCGGTAAGATCCGGAAGGTTTGGCTCTACAACCCTAGGAACGGATAGGATAAGAATGACGAGAGGTTGCATTCATCTGGGTACCTCTTAATAAATGTAGCGTTCGAAGTCGAGGGGCAACTAACACTGGAGCCTACTGTCTGCCATAACGTTGCATAGACAGCTAAAATGGCAGGAAGCACTGTTGGGGCTAAGTGGAAGAGCGAGAAGACATTGCAGCAGTCGAAGCGGGAAGTGCCAGCCACGCTTCAACCACTCGACTACACCCCGACACCGAAGGAAAACATTGATCTCGTGCAAGTGGCCAAGGTGCGAAGCAATCGCAACTTAAATTACTATCGTAGTCTAACTGAATCTTGAAATCATTCACAGAGGCAAAGCCAATGCGGAAGACACATCAAGGCGCGCCCACACGTTCTCGAAAGTTTACCAGCGTCTCAGGTACACGCAGTAAAATCCAACGCACTTTTGTACTAGCAAACTTCTAACGTTTGTGCAACTGAAGCAACACAATTTTGTTCAAGCCGAAAAGACTTGAAACAAACGTGCTTTCCTTCTTGAACTGGTCGAATCTGTCGCTTATTTTGTACTAAGTACTACATGTATTACCCTTTGAACGCACGGTTGTTGATAGTGATTTCTGTTCGCCGTATCTAGACTTGACGTCTTCGTTTAGTAGGTGGGTCGAGATTATTATCTTCAGTATCTGCAGGGTCACTATCTTCTTCCTCGCTAGAGGAACCGCCATCGCTGAACGAGTCGTCTGACGATTCCGACTCTCTAGGTTGGGAAAGAGCTTCTGTGGCCTGCGTATCCTGCGTAGGAGGGTCTTCTTCTTCGTCTTTCATGTTGTCTCTAGCAGTCATATCAACTGAAGGTTGGTGGACTGGTGTATTGCGCGCATGCTGCATGGTCACCTCGGTTGCTTTTCTGTTGAACAGCTCACGGTTGTGTTTGAATATGTCGGCCTATGGAGTCGCATTCACACCAACATATCAGCTCGACCAAACATAAATAATATTCAAACCATCGTAACACATTCTTACAATCTCCGGCATCAGCCCATCGTCTGCATTCGGCTCCGCCATGAGCAGGCGAATCGTCGTCAAGAGCGTACTGATATTGACCGACGGCAGCCAGGAACCCTACAGAAAGCGCGTTACTTTTACTCTCCAACCAACGGCTGTGCTTCCCCCCACCTTGGGCTGCATCTTGAGTGTGTCTAGGCAAATTCTGCCGGCATCGTCGATGTTTGGGTGGTAAATGGGTGTCACGAAGCGAACCTTCGGCGGCTCAAAAGGATATCTACATAATATAACCGTAAGCTGCAGTCACAAAGCAATTATTTCACCAATTCTGCCAGCTACCAACCGTTCCGGGATGTCGATCACTAGCTGGAACACACCCTTCTCATACGGAGACCCGTCTGGACCCAGAATTTCTGCGTAACATTACAACATTATTAGCACAAAGAGTATAAATATTAGCCATTTTTGGACGTTAATGTGTGGAAAATTGGCATACGAGCTTCCAGGCGGTTGATCTGGTCGTCTTTGGGCCACGCGCTGACGCCTGCAGAGCGCAATTTGGTGTATATGAACAAGGACAATAGGTCAAATGATGCACAATCGAGTGTAGATTATGGTAGTGTGGCTATGGGTGCGCACCAAAAGGTGGATCACTCTCCAGCATCGCTATCTCCTTGCGCATGCGTCCACGCATCGTCGCCATCTCTGCACCTATTCGATTCTGAATTTTTTTTATTGCATTTTGATTGGAAATATTCTATAGGGTAGGTCCAAAAATAGAACTTATTTTCGGATCGGTAATCTTCCGATCTTCCAGCATGGACAACTTCGAACAGCTCCAGCTCCTTGGTCGCGGCGGCTACGCCAGGTACGTATGCGCCCCATTATACTTAATAGCAGCTTATCAGCAGTCAAGTTCTTTACAAGTAAGGTAGCAATTGACGTTAAGAACATGTTCTGATGTGCAAAACTTCAGTGTATTTCTTGTCCGTAGTAACAATTCGGACGAACTCTTTGGTATACTGCTGCAATCGTTGTAGCTCATATCAATATTGGGTTAAATATTGACTTATAACGTTTTCTTGCTTGTTTGATGCAGCCTTGAAGAGAATTCCGAGATCGAAGATCGTCACAGAACAACAGAAAGCGCGTCTGGAAGCGGAAAAGTCGATTGTGCTCGTCATCCGAAGCCCGTTCCTATGTCGAGGCTTTCAGATATTTGAAACGACAGAAGAAGTCTCGATTTTGCAAGAATTTGTCGATGGACGAGCGTTGTACGAGTGTGTTTGGAAGTACAAAGACACTGGGAGGTTCCCGGAAGACGTCGCCAAGTTTTTCGCGGCGCAATTGGTCTTGGCACTGCGAGATTTGCATGCAAATGGATACATTCATCGCGATTTTAAGAGTGGAAATGTGCTGGTAGGGAAGGGTGGATTCGCCAAGGTGATAGACTTTGGATTGTCCAAAAGGGTTTTCTCGGATGGAAAGGATGGCAACGGCGCTGGTCGAACGCAATCTGTGTGCGGCACACACTTCGTCATGGCACCAGAAATGTTTTTCAAGCAAGCGTATGGAGTTGAAATTGACTGGTGGTACGTGAGACGTCGATGAACTGAAAAATAATGAGATCCTGACGTTATTGTTCGTTTTACAGGAGTTTGGGTGTCGTTATCTATGAAATGGTAATGGGTCATCCGCCATGGGGGTACCAATGTCCAACTGACACCACAACGGAGGAGTATTTCCAGCGGATTAAGCGCTCAGCAGATCACCCATTCCACGGACAAGTTGAGACGATTGTAAGTTCACTGAGTCCTGATCTACGCTCGTTGATATGGTATCGTACATTCTTAGTATCTGATGCTGTTAAAACAAAGCTAACGTGCCTTTCATAACGCAAACGTTAGCGCTTTACTACAGATTAATCCTCATGAGAGGCTTGGGACGAACGGGGCATCCGAGGTACGCGTTGGCTTTGTCCACAAATTTTGATAGGCTTATTGACGCGTTATTTGACTTGCAGGTGATGAATCATGTTTGGTTCAATGATGTCGACTGGGAACAGTTCGAGACGAACCAGGATTCGATTGTAGTACCGTATGATTTTAATGAAGACTACAACGCAGCGCGAGTTCGAACTCCCCCCGGCCAACACAATCGTAAAGAGAGCTTATCCAGCGCTGAAAGTATCGACCCGGAAGACAATACCAAGTACTTCGCCGACTTTTAGACTACTACAAGAAGC